CGCTCGCTCGCGCGCGCGCGCGTGTGTGTGTGTTCCGATCTGACATTGCAGATTGTTGTTGTCAAAAATGAAGGTGCAGTGTGTTTGTGCATCTCTGGCGCGAGTGTGTGTGCATGTGTGTGTGTGTGCGTGTGTAACTGCAGGCCTCTGTCAGACACTATGATCCACATTCAGAAACAGTTTGACTCTGCATCAGTGTGTGTCTGTATGTGCATGTGTATGCGTGTGTGTGTGTGTGTGTGTGTGTGTGTGTGTGTGTGTGTGTGTGTGTAAGTGTGTGAGTGACTGCAGGCCTCTGACAGACACTGTGATCCACATTCGCAAGCTTTTTGACTCTGCATCACTGTGTGTGTGTGTGTGTGTGTGTGTGTGTGTGTGTGTGTGTGTGTGTGTGTGTGTGTGTGTTCCAATCTGACATTGCAGATTGTTGTCAAAAAGCGCGGTGGCTCAGTGGTTATCACTGTGGCCTCACAGCAAGAAGGTCGCTGGTTCGAGTCCTGGCTGGGTCAGTTGGTGTTTCTGTGTGGAGTTTGCATGTTCTCCCTGTGTTGGCGCGGGTTTCCTCCGGGTGCTCCGGTTTCCCCCACAGTCCAAACACATGCGCTATAGGGGAACTGATCAACTGGTACTGGTGTTTCCCAGTACTGGGTTGCAGCTGGAAGGGCATCCGCTGTGTAAAACATGTGCTGGAATAGTTGGCGGTTCATTCCGCTGTGGTGATCCCTGATGAATCAGAGACTATGCAGAAGAAAAATTAGTGAATGTTAGGAGATTAGTGTGTTAGAATAAATATGAGTGTTGGGGAAAAGACTCTTGTACAGTACTCAACACACACTTTTAGATAAGCCACAAACACATCTATTTTGGAATCTGTTAGAAACTCTTCACACGTCTGAATTTGGCTGTCTGAAAACATAATAATAATGTAATAATAATGATGAGATGCCTGATGATTTTTCCAGCCTCTCTTATAAAGACATTTGATAATGAGTGAATAGCAGTAATCTGGCATGATTAAAGTTCAGTATAGTCTGCGCTGTTTTGCCGTTTGACACTTTTTTATTGGTCTTTTTTAATACAGTCTAAAATATGCGATAATTTAGTTTTAAAGTGTTTCTTCTGGCCACGCTACATTTGACTTGCCTTAAATGAAAGTTTTTAAAACTCTTTAGATTTCATCATGTTGCAGTGTAACAGCATTCAAATCAGCATTTAAGACAGTTTGAGGATATTACCATCTATTTAAAATCCAGATATTACAATTACAGCCTTGTGTTTACATTAGTGATGCGAGATTTGGGGAACGTTTGCTCTAATATATAAATATTTAGATCATGACTGTTTGCCTCTGGTCAGTGCCAATAGCATAGTGGTTAAGTGCGTTGACATATAGCATCATGGTGCTCACGATGACCCGAGTTCGATTCCCGGCTCGAGTTATGTTAGATTTTGGTCTTGATGTCCGGTGACCAAAGTTCG